ATAAAAATTGTTTGAAATATTTAAAATTTATTTCAAAATTCTTATTGCCATTTTCTAATAAGTGATTTTAAATAATTAAAATTATATTATATAGAATTTAAAATATTAAAAGGTAAAAACAACAAAAAAACAAACTTCAAGATTAATCAATAAAATGTTTCTTGATGCTTTTTGAAAAAGAGTAAAATTGGTAAGTAATTAGTCACCAAGATCCACTGGCAGGTTCCCAAAAAGTCTGAAAAAAATATTAAAGACAGAATTATGAAAACAGTCAGTTCGTGCAATAAAATGGTTGCATAACTTAAGATGATCCAAGTGCCTACTATTAACAGATATATATTTAAAAGCATTGACATAAAATATGTTATACATACATTTAGAAACAAAAATAATGCAGAGATTAATGTGATTATTAATTTTTCAATTAACTTAGAAAGCCAAGAAGGACAAGCACTTTGAGATTTTTAGGCACTTTCAGGGGGTGAAAAGGGCATATTTAAGGGGTGGGGAAAGATTTTCCACAGATGGATATTTCCCCTTGTCCCCCAGTGTTTACGCCACTGCGGAGAATATCTGGCGGCTTAGATCAAAGGAGCTATGGACAGTTTTTGAAGTGGAGAAGGGGTTGCAGGGTGTTGTGTGTCTGGTCATTATGTTATCTTCCTCATGAAAAATTCATCCGCATTTATTTTTTGTGTAGAACACAAAAAAATCAAATTTCAGTCTTCTTTTACATTTTTGTCATGCTTAGGAATGTCTAAATTCAGTTAAACTAGCAATTCCGTATTATATTTACAAATTTTTATAACATTTATACAAAAATTAGATTTTACCGGGAATGAGGCTTTAAATAAGAAATAAACCAGTGGAATTCATCATTGTTAACACCATATGATTTAAGTTTGGTAATGAGTAGTTCATGATCAACTGTATCAAATGCTTTTTTAAGATCCATAAATAATATATGGCAGCTGTTGCTTTACCATCATTAAAATTATTAAGTATGTGATCAGATACATCTATTAGAGTAGTATTTGTAGAATGGTTCTTTTTTAAACCAGATTGAGATGCATTTATAATCTTGTTATAAGTTTGAAAATCATACAATTGATCATGAACTGCTCGTTCAGTTATTTTTTGAGAGAGAGTAGGTAACACAGAAATTGGCCTGTAACTGCTTGGATCATTTTTATCACCATCTTTAAAAATAGGTGTTACTTTTGCTTTCTTCCACTCAGAAGGGAAAGTTGAAGAAGGGAAAGTTGAAGAAAATAAAGATGAGCAAGCGAGTTACAAAGTTACTTAGCCCTAACTATTCTAATCATTATGATCCACAAATCACAACTTTTTTTTCACATTTAGCCCAATTTTTAATATAATTAATATCATTACCATTATCTTATCATCACCATCGTTATCATGATCATCGTCATCATTAATTTATAGTTATTACTAATACAGCAGTAGTAGTAGTAGTAGTAGTACTACTGGTAGTAGTAGTAGTAATAATAGTAGTATGAAACAAAACTTTATAAACGCTTGCAAAACTGAACCATACTAATCCATATCATATTTCTGTATCTTAAAAGACATGGTTTGATAGATCCACCCCTTGAGCGGTAGCCGTTATGAACCCCAAAATTTTATTTTTTTCATTATCGTGTTTAGTGAAAAATTGATCAATATGGATAACGAATATTCCACTGGGTTACTATCAGGTTAGCGGGTGACTTTTATGGTTTGTTTCTATCAGAGCACAATTAATTAAATAATTAGTCAATTAGAAATTAGCACTTATAAATCAACACCAAATTATAGGCCTATGTATAACATGTGATGATACATATTTACGTACTTTTAGAGAAGAATTGGTATTCATTTTGAGTGATCTCAGGAAAGAATGCATAGGCCTTGTAAATGTATACTAGAACATATAGAGGGCGCTCGAGCCAGAAGACATGGCACTGGGATTGTAATGAATAAAGTTACCGCATGTGTTGAACAAGACATGTTTAATAGTGCCTTATTTACATGGTGTCAGAAGTAGTCTTCAGCTGTCGATAATAGAGGAAGAGCCAGGTAAAGTAAAGAAACATACCTGAATTCATAAACATAAATATTTTACGAGGAATAAACATTACAAATCTAGGCCGAATGTCGCATGTAAGATGACCGACACTGGATTGCGAAAGCCCGCACCATTGCGGTTTGACGGGAATGTAGCCGAATATTGGCGTGTCTTCGAGAGAGAATATGATATATTTGTTGAAGCAGCATATAATAATAAAAGCAAGCAAACTAAGGCAGCAGTGCTTCTTAATTTAGCAGGATCAGAGGCTATTGAACGGGAACGATCATTCTCATACCTAGCTGCGAGACCAAACCCTGATGGATAAGGTGAGCTCCGAGCAGAAACGACCCAGAATGCTTGAAGCGGAAAATTAGAGAGTTGTGTAATCCTCGCACAAACGTTATTCTGGAAAGATACAGATTTAACTCAAGGGTACAACTAGAGGGAGAGCCATTCCAGACATTCTTGTCAGATCTCAGAAACAAGGTAAAACTTTGTGAGTATCGAGATTTAGAAGATCAATTACTCAGAGACAGGCTAGTAATAGGGATCAGGAAAGAAAATGTACGCAAAATAATGTTAAGAGAAAGTGAATTAACATGGCCAAGGCAATACAGATTTGTCAAATTCATGAGCTGTCTGAGGTTGATGCTAAGGTAATTAAGCCAGAAAAGGAAGAAACAATAGATTATGTAGCAAGAAAACCAAACTTCAAAAAAGGAAATTATAAAACAAGGCCACAAAAATGCTGTCAGTAGAAAACCAAATGCTTACATGGCTAAAAAGCAAGAAACTGATCAAAAGTGTAAGAAGTGTGGTTACAAACATAAAGGTGTTGGCATCCCTTGTGTACATCGTCCATGTTCAAAATCAGTGAATGAAATTGACAAGGTGGAGGAAGAATTAGAAACATTCTACATTGAATCGGTACATACAGAAGGGAAAGAAGACATCCACACTAATATGATGATTGATAAGAAAAAATTAAGATTAAAAGTTGACACAGGTGCTAAGTGCAATGTGATGAGCAAAACAACATTGGAATACCTGAATAAAGAAGAATACCTTGATTCATCAAAACAAGTTAAGCTTGTTGGATTTGGAGGCCAAGCTATTAGTTTTTTGGGAAGTGCAATATTAATTTATGAGCAGTCAGATAGAAAATTTGATATGGAATTCCAAGTTGTAGACAAGGAAGTATCGACGTTAATGGGCTTGAAAGATAGTCTGCGTTTAGACTTGATTTCATTCAACACAGAGGTATTTGAACTAGCATCTACTGAAAAGGTGCCTGATGGTATCCTGAAAGAATATGACGACTTATTTGACGACAAGATTGGCAAATTGCCAATATAAAATAAAACAAAAAATATAAAATAACAATTGATCCGGAAATACAACCTGTAGTCAGACCAGTATTAGAACGGTACCAGTAGCAATCAAAGAAAAACTTACTGTAGATCAAAGTTAGATGAAATGGTATCAGAAGAAATAATTGCTCCGAGCCAACAGATTTTGTCTCAGCTATGGTTATTACTACAAAGAAAAGTACCAGAGAACTGAGAATATGTTTGGATCCTGGAGACCTAAACACTGCGATAAAGCGACCACATTACCCAATGCATACAATTGAACAAATTGTACAGAATATGCCTGAAGCAAGATATTTTACAGTATTGGATGCCAAGAGTGCTTTTTATCATATCCAGTTGGATGATGAATCATCTTACCTTACCACTTTCGGAACACCGTTTGGCAGGTACAGATATTTGCCTATGCTGATGGGAATAAGCTCAGCTCCCGAGGTTTATCAACAAGCTATCAAGCATTTACTTTCACAAGCACCTCGTGAAGTATTCATGGATGATATCCTAGTAGCTGGTAGTACAGAGGAATTGCACGATGTAAATCTTAAGAAAGTTCTTGAAAGAATTAGAGAGATAAACCTGAAACTAGCATTACACAAATTGCAGTATAAGAGATCAAGTGTTGTGTACTCAGGACACATACTATCAAATGGTGGATTGCAACCAGACCCTGCAAAAGTGGAGGCAATCACTGAAATGCAGACACCATCCAATACAATTGACCTGCTTAGATTTTTGGGGATGGTAAAGTACCTGACAAAGTTTGTCCCAAACTTGAGTGAGAAAGCAAAACCTCTCAATTTGTTGAGGAAAAATCATGAATGGCATTGGTACAAACACCAACAGACTGCATTTGAAGAAATAAAGAACAGCATAGCACTGCAACAACATTAGCATATTTTGATGTGCAAAAAGAAGTTACATTGACATGTGATGCATCCAAGAGTGGACTTGGAGTAGCATGCTTACAACAAGGCAAACCGGTGGCTTTTGCATCTTGTGCATTAACTGAAGCTGAAATAAACTACGCTCAAATTGAGAAAGAGTTGCTTTCAGTTGTTTTCAGATGTACTAAATTCCATGACTATATATATGGAAAGGAAGTAACAATGCAATTGAAACGGATCATCAACCGCTAATCTCAATAGTAAAGAAACCATTATCAACAGCACCAGCAAGGCTCCAGCGGTTCTTACTGAGAATACAGAAATATCAGTACATTCTGAAATACAAGAGAGGAAAGGAGTTATATGTTGCAGATACATTATCTCAAGCATATCTTCCATCTAAAGATGTGAAAGATATAGGTGATGAGGATATTGACTATAATGTGTTATCAGTTTTTCCAATATCAAGTACTAGACTGGAAGAAATCAAACGATTTGCCATACCCAGTACCAAGTAGACCTTGGGCAATACTAGGAACTGACATGTTTGAGTGGCATTCAGAGACATATTTGGTGACAGTTGACTCATACTCAGGTTGGTTTGAAGTTGACAAATTATCGGAATTGTCATCGACAACAGTGATTAAGTGATTTGCCAGATTTGGTGTGCCAGGCATGCTCATATCAGATACAGGACCTCAGTATCGATCAGCAGAGTTCAGAGAGTTTACTCGGAATTGGGGATTCAATCATATAACAAGCAGCCCATATTTTCATAGCAGTAATGGACTTGCTGAGAAAGCTGTGTAGTCAGCAAAGAGGCTGTTGGAGAAATCATTTAGAGATGGTTCAGATTTCCATCATAATTTGCTAAATTGGAGAAATATTCCAAGAGATACAGTACTTGGATCTCAAGAACAGAGAAACCTTTCTCGTCGCACCAAAAATGCAATACCTACAACAGAAGCACTTCTCAAGCCTAAAGTGCTAGATCCTATATTGGTTCAACGTCGTCTTAGAGAGTTGAGGCAGTCACAGAAAAATAGTGTGGATAAATCATGTAAACGACTTCCAACACTATCACCTGGTGACATGGTTCGTATGCAGACAAAGAAAGGTTATGACAGGTCAGCGGTAGTAGTTAAATTAGCCAAAGAACCTAGATCTTATTTTGTGAAAACGTCAGAGGATGGCTATGAATATCATAGAAACCGTCGATATCTACTGAAAGTACCAAATTCCAGGAACAGGCCAAATATGCAGAACAAATCACAGACATCAAAACCAATACAGTTAACAGATACAAGGATTGGTAACACAGAAAGAGGAATATAACATACACATTCAGCAGATACTACAGTTCAGACACGAACAAGAGGAGGTAGAGTAGTTGTGCCACCACGACGATACAGAGACTGTTATTAAGCAGTGAACTGTTGTGAATCAAGAGACTTAATCAGTGATTATACAATACAAAGACATTGCTCTTAATCAGTAACATTTTGGAAATAACTGACTCAATTGACACAGTTATGGTAATTGATAATCCAAATTTAATAATTCAAATGATACAACAAAAAGAAGTAAGTTCAAGTGCTTAATGATTGTTGGATAACCAGTTAACGGAAATATTTGAAGTTTAAAGTTATTATTGAATTGTTTAGTTTTATGTTGAAGTTATTCATGTTTAAAGTTGCCTAATTATCTATGAGATACTCCATAAATATAATCATCAAGACTATAAGTAATGTAAAGATAATCACAATAACAGAAAGGAAAAGTTCTACTATAGAGTCAAAATAATATAAAGTATTAATAATTTATAAAACCCCAAACATACTATTTCAATTATGAAGGGGAGGATGTAAATGTATACTAGAACATATAGAGGGCGCTCGAGCCAGAAGACATGGCGCTGGGATTGTAATTAATAAAGGTACCACATGTGTTGAACAAGACATGTTTAATAGTGCCTTATTTACAGGCCTATTGGATAGCAACTACAAGCTTTTAAATTCTAACACTGTTTACAAAGGTGGAGAGCCGCGGCTCCCATGACATCCCCTGGATACATTCCTGTTACTAGAGTTGCTTACTAGTTTTGGCATATCTCGTCAGTGGCCATTTTCCTTTCAATAGTCCCCATCCTAACCTGGATCGTCACCAAAATTCAATAAATTCTTCACTGAACCAATGACAAACTATTCTTGAAAGTTTCGTTTCAAACCTTTGTTATTTTTTGAGATATTTAGGTCTGGGATGTTAGCATTTTAAATGACCCACAAATCCATGCCCCAATCTGGATCATCACCAAAGTTAAATAACTTCGTCCTTGTAACTTGGTTAACTTATCAGAAAGTTTCATTCAGATCAGTTAATTCGTTCTTGCGACATTTAGTGTGGGGTGTTTCCCATAGTCGTATATCCACAGCCCATTCCGAAATAGTTACAAATGGACAAAATTTCAAACAGATTCAACCTTGGAAAGTGACAGTGTCGGGCGACAAAACAATGAAAAAAGATAGGAAAAACTGTATGGACGTGAAAAAACACAAACAATGGGGGTTTTTTTTTATTGCTACTGCTAGGAAATGACAATAATATTGATATGAGGCTTTACTTTTATTCAAGTTTTTCTATGATTTTACCAATAATCTAAACAAAAATACTGTAATGCTATTGAAGTATGACACTTGGGTCAACATTGATAGCCAGTACACGATACCGTGTATTGAAAGAGAATACAATATATAACTCGAAAAGATCTTTTCAGTTTCTCGGGATATGGGCCAGAAAACAGAAATACAGTATGCTAGCTAACGTTGACAGGCCTATACAATTTTAAACACAAAATTTGCATAAATAAAGCCACACGTAAATAAATTTTGTAATGGATTCTATCATTAATGTGGTAGGCAGGCTCAGTTTCTATTTATAAAAGACAATGGGCGTATTTCTTCTTAATTTGACATATTCATCTTATCAACACAAAATACACTAAACCTCTCAAAAACACTGAGGTAATTGATCATTTTTTTTTTGAAAATACAGGTCTACCTCCAATTAAAGACCTCTCCAATCAGAGACCACCAATGAAGACCACTGGTCCCGATTGAATGTGTACATTTCTACATACATCATAATACCATGCATTTATGCTCAACTAAGATGATATTTTGTGTATACTTGCTCCATTTTAAATGTATAGAAGTGCTCTATTCGGTTGATTATTAATCGTACTTCCATTTCAATTCTGCAATCCCTGCTAGAAATTTTCTAGTTTTTATCAGTGATTCTCTGTCTCCACTGAAGATAAAAGTACATGGCACTTCCATCCCATATCCTGCTCTTCTATTTATTGGCTTCCCAGTGATGACAGCTATACCTCCGTTTGAACATTGCTTTAGAAACAATCCGACATTATTATTTGCAGATTTGTTTTAAAATGTGTCCTAGAACTTCTCCTGTTTTTTAGCAAAAAGTACTAGGATGCATTTCATCTGGCCTAGGCATAGCTTGTAGTTTGCTCCTCACAGCTGCACTAGCATCTTCAATGTTGCCTGGCTCCCTTCCTAGTAATAATTCCTAACTTTCTGCAGGAGTCCATGAGGTCATATCCTTATACACCTGGTATCCTCTCACACAGGTTAAAATTTTCCCACACGAATAAAATATACGAGCGGTAGTGGGTAAATACAACTTGTTTTCTTGCTTCACACAAGGTATCCATTCGTAGGTTTAATGAAGATAAACATATCCAAGTGAACATAAAAGGGTTGAGGACCAGGACAACCTTCGCTGTAGTGGACGGAGATACGAGTCACAAAAACAAGTTCAAATTTCCATAAACATTTATTGAATGTTGTTGCTATAATTCAAAGATGCAAACATAACATAGCAATGCAACTTCTATCCAGTCTAATCCAGGCTTATTATCAATGTAAGCCAAGCTTGTATTGCTTGTAAGTTAAACAATCACGCCTATATCCATACGTAGACTTAAAACGTATATATTGTGATGAATTATACTAAAAAGATTAGTACATAGTTGTATTACAGAGTTTTGAATAATTGAATCTAATTCCAATATTCCACAGTATATTATGATACTTTGCCTTTATACGAAATACGTTACTATTAGTAATAAACACAGTGCTAGGTTATAATGTTTACGTCAGCACTCGATATGCTGCCTAAAATCATGCACCCTAATCAAGAGGTATAGCAAAAGAGGTACAGTCTTTTGATGTATTGTATCCTATACTTTCTTTGTATTAATATATAAGTTAATCATTCTTATGCATTCCTATATGCATTAAACGGTAGACATTACGAATTAACAAGCATTGTAGGCCACAACCTACAATCAACCACTACCGCAATATAGTGTAATATAACTAACGATTTGTAGTATTCCTACATGGTTACATGTGTGCATAGCATAACATCAGTACGTTAACATATAGCCATATACTTTAGCCCTATACCTAATACTTTATAAATTATCTACTAATAACTACTGTTGTAAGTGAGGTATGTTTTCTAACATGAATTTTTGCTCCCTCACTCCATAGACTACATAGCTTCAGACCTATCTCGATCCAAAAAAAAATAATGCCTTTTTAATCTTCCTAAATATGGCTACCAGTAATTGTAACATACAATACTACTACCTCTAAGCAGCAAAAGACACTCTTTTCTCTAATTTATTCATCTCTCTGATCCTTCTTATCTAACCACAGGTATGTGAGATAGTTACCACAAGTTGTTTCATCCATATCATGGGGGCGCTCTCGGTAACTCATAACTCCTTTGGCATGGGTGGGAACTTAACATTCGCTTTTAAGTTGATAGAGATTGGAAAATGTTAAATACTGACAAAATGTATTTATAATAATCCTTAAAACATAAAAAAAGTGCAATTTTAAAATAATTTAATAAATATGAATGTATGATGTAAGTAATTTGTTAATTAAAAATAACGTAAATATAAAAGAATTAACGAAGGAGGATAGGAAAGAAAATGGGAGCAGCTGAAATATTTACCAAAAATTAACAATAACATAATAATATTGAATTACGAAACATGTAATCTTGACACTTTGACCTCTGATAATTAGTGTTCAAAATTGCTACAAAAGTATGAAGCAATAATGACAAAATGATGAAGTGTTTATTTTTGGTAAATATTTCAGCCTTTCCGAGTTTCTTTCCTATTCTTCCTTTCTTTTATATTTTACCTTATGTTTATTCATAAGCAGGGGTGGCACCAGGATTTGCGAGACGGGGTGAGGGGGTGTGAGGTCACTTATGGGTGGCTAACTTATGTGATCAAATTTTCCTAACGAAAGCAAATTGGTCTTCGATTAAAAGGTTTCAAAAGTGGTCAAGGGAGCGAAGCCCCCCAAAAGTTTGACAATTTAGGGGTTTCAAAGGCATATTTAATCAATTTTATAGTTTACTAATATGTAGGATAATTTTTTTCTCCCTGACAAATTATGCTTTTTCTCCCCAACGGGGAAGGAGAAGCTCTCCCTGAGGGGAGTGCCCTGGCCACCCCTGGCACTCCCGCTGGCGCCACCCTTGTTCATAAATAAGAGATTACTATTCATAGTACATTCATTAAGATTAATTTACTTTTTTATGTTTTAATGCCTAATTATGTATTTATTGTGTCTGTAATTTAACATTTTTCTATCTTTGTTAAATTTAAAGTCGAAGGTATGTCTTGGTCCCCGACCCTTTTATGTTCACTTGTATAGGCTTATCTTCATAAGGCTTCTACGAATGGATGCATTGTTTGAAGCAAGAAATTAAGTTGTCTTTACCCAAAATTGCTCATCTATTTTATTTGGGTGGGAAATCTTTAACCTAATATAACCTTTTTTTTTACAACAGATTATGCTGAGTAGCTCTGTACCTTCAACTTATGGTTAATGAGTTAATAAGTCTTTTTGAAGTTTAGTATTGTTTAGTAGATAATTTGTCTATTAATTAAAAGTTAATGAACCTTTAAAACAGTTGTTTATTTGATTTTATTTTGAATAATTCATGTGTGAGAAATATTTAAAATGTTTTATTAAGAATGAACAGGAGCTTACAGTAACTGTAAATTCATTCTAAATCATTTGGAATAAAACCAAAAGGTCCACTGATTAATCTCCGATAAGAAAGTATAATACACACTACACGTATTGAAATACACGCCATCGTGTTCATAATTAATGTCGAAATATTGAATCCCAACACGATAGCGTGTATTTCAATACTTAGAGTATGTATTATACTTTCTTATTTGGAATAAAACAATCTTATATTAAATGTGTTAAATACAA